CCCTCCCCTCTCCTTTCCTTTCCTTTTTCTTTTGGAATGCAAAGAGGCTCATTCTGTTTGTGGGGTCTAATTTTCTTGGGTTCATAATCCTGTGTCGAGCAGATTAAAGAAAAACATTTGCATGGAACTGCAGTTACAGGCAATAGTGAGCCACCTGATGGATGCTGGAAACCAAACTCAGGTTGTTCCCCAGAAGAGTGGGAAGATGAAGCAGTAAGCCCCTGGGGCGGACTTTTGTATCTTCAAGCCGTGAACGTGCTGTCTACTGCTTTGTTGTTAAGGCAGAGAAGGCTTTATGTAGAGTTTATTTTTATGTGTATGAGTGTTGTGTCTGAGTGTGTGTCTGTGCAGTGTTTGCATATTTGGCACGTTTAGAGGCTAGAAGAGGTTGTCGGATCCTCTGAGACTGAAGTTACAGATGGCTGTGAGCTGCCATGTGGGTTCTGGGAATTGAACCCAGGACCTCTAGAAGAGTTGCCAGTGCTTCTAACCACTGGGCCATCTCTCCAGAGCTTTTTGTTTAATTTATGTTTTTAAAAATCATAAACAACATTAAAATATATTTTAGCTGAGAATGGTGGTACAGACTTGTGGTCCCAACACTTGGGAAGTAGAATCATATGTTCAAGGATGGTCTAGGAAATGTGAAAAGTCTCGATCTTGAAAAGCAATGAACAAAAGCCAAGTTTTTTTTTTTATTTATTTATATTTTTATTTTATGTGCATTGTTGTTTTGCCTGCGTGTATGTCTGTGTGTGGGTGTCAGATCTTGGAGTTACAGACATTTGTGAGTTACCATGTGGTTGCTTGGAATTGAACCTGGGTCCTCTGGAAGAGCAGTCAGTGCTCTTTACCACTGAGCCAGAAATAAATTTATAAAAAAGTATATTTTTTTATTATAAAAGTAAGTTTATTATATAGTAAGTTTATAAAAAGTAAAAGTTATGTTATATTATTTAGAACATATAAGTATATATACATTTAGATCTGCAGTAGAGATTGTTATTATACTTATGGCTTTGAGACAAGGTATTTTTCTCCCTAAGTTTTACTTATGTGTGTGTGTGTCTGTGTGTGTGTCTGTGTGTGTCTGTGTGTGTCTGTGTGTGGGTATGTGTATTTTAGTGAAGGTGTCATGGAAGCCAGAAGCAGGCTCTTGTGAGCCACCTCATGTGTGCTGGGAACTAAACTCAAGAGCACTAAGTGATCCTAAACCACTGAGTCATCTCTTCAGCCCCCAAATGATCATGTATTATATTTACTTACATGTATGATTGTGTGTATGCACATGCTAGCAGGTGTTTCCAGAAGACAGCGTCAGATCTTGAGTTGCTCAGCATGGCTGTTGGGAACTGGACTCCAGTCCTCTGGAAAGCAGCACATGCTCTTAAACTGCTGACTCACCTCGCCAGTCCGTGCTTTGACTTTTTAAAAAATAAACGTTTAATGATGTGTACCTGAGTCCAGAAGAGGATGGTAGATCCTAGGCATTTATGAACTGCTTAACTTTAAAGAATTCAGATCTCCTGGGAAAGCAGTGTGTGCTCAGAGTCACTCAGCCAGTTCTTTAGCCTTGGCATTGAAATTTTTTCTCTCTCTTTTTCTCTGGTTTTGTTTGTTTGAGACAGGGTTTCTCTGTGTAGCCCTGGCTGTCCTGGAACACATTCTGTACACGAGGCTGCCCCCGAACTCAGAGATCCACTGCCTCTTCCTGCTGAGTGCTGGGATTAAAGGCGTGCACCAACAACGCCTAGCCTTTCTCAGCATCTTGATTGCTGGAATTACAGGCTTGCACTGCAACTGGCTCAACGGCACCAGAGTTTAAGAAGTACATACTTCTATTAAGCTATCATATAGTTTCTATTCCACTTCTGCTGGAATAGAGTGTGTGTTGGAAATTGCTAAGTTGACATCATAGTTAGTCTACTAAAAGATTGAAGTCTGTCATTTGTGAAGCACTGATTTTACTGATCCTGATTCTTGTTCCTTTTAGGTGCGTCTAATGCTGGTGTTGGCACCTGTTATGTGCATTCTTTCTGGCATTGGTGTCTCCCAGGTGCTATCTACATATATGAAAAATCTGGATATAAGCCGCCCAGACAAGAAGAGCAAGAAGCAACAGGATTCTACTTACCCTATTAAGAATGAGGTAAGGGGCTGGAGTGATGGCTCAGTGGTTAAAGGCACTGACTGCTCTTCTAGAGGCCCAGAGTTCAATTCCTGGCAACCACATGGTGGTTCACAACCATCTGTGATGGGATCTGATATGTGTCTGAAGATAACGACAGCGTACTAGTATTTAAAAAAAAAAAAGAAGTGAGGTTTAAGTAACAGGTTGACTTGGAAAACTGAGTGTTTGTGTTATTTGCTTATGTTCACGAAGGGTATTAGATGAATGTCTTGAGTGATCAGAGTTAATGTATGCAGCCCAACATATTTTGCTCTCACATAAGAAGCTGTCCGTGTTTGGCTTACCGTACAGTTCTTCCTTCTGTAGGTGGCAAGTGGGATGATACTGGTCATGGCTTTTTTTCTCATCACCTACACGTTTCATTCGACTTGGGTAACCAGTGAAGCCTATTCTTCTCCTTCCATTGTATTGTCTGCTCGTGGTGGGGATGGCAGTAGGATTATTTTTGATGACTTCCGAGAAGCATATTATTGGCTTCGTCACAATACTCCAGAGGTAAAAATTTGGGAAGAGTTGGGTAGTTGGGTAGTGGTGAAATTGTAATGAACCTGACAATTTTACATAGAGGGAAGCTTAGAAAAATTAAAAATTCAGAAACTTAGTTTTTAATAAATTTTAAAGACCAAGGTATCTTCTAGAGTAGTGGTTCTCAACCTGTGGGTCACGGCCTCTTTGATAAACCTGTGTTTCTGAAAATTTTACATTATGATACAGTAGCAGAATTACAGTTATAAAGTAGCAAGGAAAATAATTTTATGGTGGGGGTCACTACAGCATACGGAGCTGTATTAAAGGGTCACAGCATTAGGAAGGTTGAGAACCACTGAGCTAGAGTAACTTAAATTCTAGGTTCTGTTTGGACACATGTATTGATATAATAGTGGTTTTACTACAAGGTAGATCAACCCAGGTACAACAGAAGAAAATGTTAAAAAGTATGTCTGCTATAGAAAAAGCAGAAGCTAGAATCAAGGTAAACAGTTACCACCTAATAATAATGGCATATAACATTTTAGTTTATGTCCCTTACGGATCTGATTTCTTTTTTAGTAGATATTGGGAATAGCATTTTAGAGTCAGATTTGCTTAACACCCAAACTAAGAATTTTTTTTTTTAAAGTAGTGTTGGGGATTAAACCTAGACCCTTAACATATGCGAGGCCTGTAATCTACCACTGTTTACCCGGCTCCCAAACTGAGAGTCCTTTAATCCTGGCTGTCGTGTTTTGTGACTCGTGTTTTCCCTTCTACCATTGTAGTAACTGGTTTCTATAATGTTATTAAGTCATTTACCGAATGACAATCCAGGAGTGTTGGCACATGCCTTTTATCCCAGCATTGAGAATGCAGAAGCAAGTGAGTTTGAGGCCAGCTTGGTCTATATATTGAGACCCTGTCCTGAAAGAAATCTAAAGTACCTAATGTCACGAAGCGTATTTATTTAGCTACACTTCATAGTCTCTCCTACATCTCTTGATCCACTGTGCTTGTTTCAATGATCTGGAATTAAGATACTTGGGAATGTTGGATCGTGTATAATTTAAATTATTTCCTGACTATCTATGAATGGAGGATTAGGTGCCCTAATTTTATTTTCTTGTTAGGTTTTTTTTTGTTTTGTTTTGTTTTGTTTGTTTGTTTGTTTGTTTGTTTTTTGGTTTTGGTTTTTTCGAGACAGGGTTTTTCTATATAGCCCTGGCTTTCGTGGAACTCACACTGTAGACCAGGCTGGCCTCGAACTCAGAAATCAACCTGCATCTGCCTCCCAAGTACTGGGATTAAAGGCATGCACCACCATTGCCCGGCTTGTTAGGTATTTATTACCTTGTAAACAAATTGCTTAATTGGGCAAGTCTTACTTGCTATCAAAGATGCCTTTCCACTTAGCATTTGGATTTTAAGAGCAGTTAGATGAACATTTATCTATTTTCATATTGTTTTAGGATGCAAAAGTCATGTCATGGTGGGATTATGGCTACCAAATTACTGCAATGGCAAATCGGACAATTTTAGTGGACAATAACACATGGAATAATACCCATATTTCTCGAGTAGGGCAGGTAAGGTAAAGGGGTCCTTTGAGTATCTGGCATGTGAAGTCTCTGGGAAGGCTGTCACTAGGAGAGGAGGAGGACTTGAGATTTTATTTTGAGACTTGTACGTTTACTTTTCTAGGCAATGGCATCCACAGAGGAGAAAGCCTACGAGATCATGAGGGAGCTGGATGTCAGCTACGTGCTCGTCATTTTCGGAGGCCTCACCGGGTACTCCTCTGACGGTAACGTACTCGATGCTCTCTGTATCTAGCTGCAGGGCGTAGGCTCTTAGAAAACTTCCTGAGTCAGTTACAGTTTTATTTATTTATTTGTTTGTGACAGAGTCTCATGTGACTCAGGCTGGTCTTGAACTTGCTGTAGTCATAAGGATAACCTTGAAATACTGGTCTTCCTGCTTTTGCCATTGGTGCTGAAGCTGCATGCATACACCATCTTTTTTCTCTCTTTTTAAAGAAAAAGTTAGGTGTGTATGTGTGTGTGTATGTATGTATGTATGTATGTATGTATGTATGTATGTATACAAAGGAAAAGTAACTTTCACAAAACTGAAGTTAATAGTACCTGCTTTTTTTTTGTTTAAGTTAAACAATTCTAGAGGTTTAAAGTAAGTGGTTGTCTCATGGCCTTAAACTTAAATAAGCACCCTTAGCATCAGTCCCCAGAAGTGCATTGGTCGTCAGAAGCAGTGATTTCTGTCCTCAGTTTCTTAGGTTTTTTTTTTTTTTTTCTTTTGTGCTAGGCATTGACTCCTGGAGCTTACATGTGCCAGGCAAGCACTTCTCCACTAAGCTCCCCTCTCAAATCTTTATATTCCACAATTCCTGCTATTCTGGGGTAGATTTGTTTTAATTGTACCATATCAATGTCTCTTTAAAAGGTTGTTTTATTTCATTTATTTTTTTTGCGTGTGTTTGGGGGATACATGTATCCCATGGATCCCATGGATATCAGAAGACAACTTGTGGGAGTTGGTTCTTCACTTCCACCGTGTGGGTCCAGGGATTCACTTTAGGTCACGAAGTCTGGAAGCAAGCACATTTACCTGTGAGCCTTCCTGCTGGCCCCCTGTCAGCTTCTTAACCTGTGAGCCTTCCCACTGGCCTCCTGTCAGCTTCTTACCTGTGAGCCTTCCCACTGGCCTCCTGTCAGCTTCTTACCTGTGAGCCTTCCCAATGGCCTCCTGTCAGCTTCTTACCTGTGAGCCTTTATGCTGGCTCCCTGTCAGCTTCTTACCTGTGAGCCTTCCCACTGGCCCCCTGTCAGCTTCTTACTTACCTGTGAGCCTTCCCACTGGCCCCCTG